CGGCCACCACCGAGGGATGGGGAGTGGGTAAACCCTGGGCAGCCCGACGGAGGAGGGGACGTGGGTTGGTGTCCCCCCCCGGCACAGACCGTGGACGCCTGGGGACCCCGCAGGAGCACAAACCTGCGCACCAAGCGATGGCTGAACACCCACCAGCCCACCAGTGACGATCCACGAAGGGGCATTTACCCACGACGAGTAGTTTTTGCCCCTCACTCCTTGTCTTTTAACAAGCTGGGGGTGTTTGGGTTGCAATGAGGACGCCAGGATCTCCTTTGGGACGGGGTGAAGGGACCCGGCTGCGGCGGGGGGGGGGGGCGTGGGTATTAGGGGCTCACGCGCTCATCTGCTCCGGATAAAAGCCAGCTGGGTTGACGTGAGCGGTGCTGATCCACAGAAGCAAAGACCAGAGCATCCCCCAGCTCACCCGCTTCCACCGCAGCAAGCTGGGCAAGTCATGAAGCCACCGACAGCAGAGCAGCGCCTGAAGGAGATCCACCACGGGGATAACCCACCCTGGGCGAGCAGGAGGGCTGGAGAAACCCCCCTGCAGCTCGTTTTCATAATTAGTGGGTTTTAAGAGAGGAGAGGTTTCGAAGAGACCTCTCGAGCACACCTTCACGCAAGAGGAGACCAATCGGCCAAAAGAAGTTCAAAGGGAGCAGGAAACATTTGTCAATGTGTCCTTGCGTCCCAGGTTGCCCAGACCACACCGCATCGTCTTGCTCCTTAAACACACCCAGTGACAAACACTGCCGTGGGGAAACTGAGGCAGGGGCCCTGACCGGCGGCTGGGGGGGCGAGGGGTTTTTTGGGAAGCCAGCTGAAGGGAGATCCATGGAGAGGCTCGATGTCGAGCAGGGGGAGGGCTGGTCTCTGGGCCCGTCTCGGGTGATGGAGATGTCTCCGATGACTTCCTACAGCCTCAGACACCCCAGACCCGGTGGGCGAGGACTGCAGCGGGTTCTGCTCCCTCCAGCCAAGGGTGCCCGAGGTGACCCGGGCACCCCGAGCCCCCAGTGCTGGGCTACCCAGGGGGCAAGTGTGGCCCTAGCAGGTCCAGAGGGACTGGTGCCAGAGCTGTGTCCTTCGGCTGTGCCGGGGCTTCCCCAGGACTCGCTGCGGAAAGGCTGGCTGAGGGAGCGGTGGGGAACTCTGGCCATCATCAGGACCTACATCCATAGGGGCTACAGAGCATCTGCTGCCAGCAGCAGGACGTGGCCATCTACGCTCCCTCAGCAAACACGGCTGCAGGCGAGAGAGCGAGAGCAGATGGGAGAGAGCGGGGAAAGACGGAGGGAAAAACAAGCTGAGAAGAAAGGAC